CTGCCTTGGCTGCATCATCTGCCGCCTCACTTCCCCGGATGCCAGCATGGCTGGGGATCCAGTTCAATGTCGAACTGTTACCCTGAACTTCTAAGACTGTCATTATGCTCAGGATCGATGTGATGAGGTGAACATTGTCCTGTGGTTGAGGATGGGAGAGGGCATTGATTGCAGAGGTGGAATCAACATGTATGACAGGTCGGAGTCGATGTCGTAGGGCATGTGACAATGCCTGCTGAATCGCCACCAGCTCAGCTTGAAGGATCGTGCAGTGGTCAGGGGGTCGCCAGCCTTGTGTGTGACCATTATGGTACAGTCCATGTACGAAATGGTATATAATACCGACAAGATGAGAGTAAGACACATGTGCAACATCTGGGTATCTTTATTGTAGACGTTTCGCCATCCAGTGGCTTTATCAATACAAATTCTAGGACATAACTTGAAGACAGTAGAACTATGTACAGAAGATGAGGTTATCAGTCCCTCAACCTAGGAGTAGGTGCGAACAGCACCATAGTCGTGGAGATTCTGAAGCAGAAGAAAGAATCCTGGCGCTTATATAGTAACGTCAGGTGTAGCAGACGAGGGCATATTCACTGGTAGGCGGGATTCCCCAGTGGAAGTAGGTCCTTCCCAAAGAGATGGGTTAGTTGTAGAGGTAGTTGTCGTAGTCGTGAAGGTTATGTACATGTCCTCTCATCTTGTCGGTATTATATACCATTTCGTACACAACTTGTCAGACACTGCAACATCATGGAATCTTAATTCTGAGGACATGTACATAATCTTCACGACTACGACAACTACTACTACAACTAACCCATCTCTTTGGGAAGGACCTACTTCCACTGGGGAATCCCGCCTACCAGTGAATATGCCCTCGTCTGCTACACCTGACGTTACTATATAAGCGCCAGGATTCTTTCTTCTGCTTCAGAATCTCCACGACTATGGTGCTGTTCGCACCTACTCCTAGGTTGAGGGACTGATAACCTCATCTTCTGTACATAGTTCTACTGTCTTCAAGTTATGTCCTAGAATTTGTATTGATAAAGCCACTGGATGGCGAAACGTCTACAATAAAGATACCCAGATGTTGCACATGTGTCTTACTCTCACCTCATGGTACAGTCCAGCTGCTGCTCTCTTCCCGTCAGGGTCGACAGAACCATCTGTGAAATACACTGCACATGTGCCTCCCTCTGCCAGTGCCATGCTTGTCTCAGCATGATTGCTGGGGGTGTCTTGACTGCAGAGACGCTTAGAGATGGGTAGCTGTATGATGCAAACATCGGCTGGATCTGGGCGCCAGGGAGGTGGTGGATGGCACCCAGCAACAGAAAGGTCACAACTCTTCTCAAGGAGTAGTTGTATAGGCAGCAGCTTCCGCCCATCAGCACAAAACGAACGAATCCAGGAGTAGTCCGTGAAGAGTGTGGGATCTTGTGTCATGGTTGTCAATATCCGTCTCCTTAGTGGGGTACCTTGCTGCCGGTGCAGAATCGTGGCCACTTTGCAGGCGTTTATGTATCTTACTCTGTCAGCCAAGGAAGGAAGCCGGGCCTCAGATCTGAGACATACTGTATTGGGCCAGATGGGGGCCCCAAGCATAGTTCTTATCGCCTGATTTTGTACGACCTCCACCCTTTGCCTGCTCTGTGGGAAGAGATGAGCTAACGCCGGTGCACCGAAGTCAATGAGCGAGCGTATAGCTTGTATATAGTACAAGCGAAGCACATCTTTGCTTGCCCCTGCACGGTGCCTCGTCATGGCTCTCATGGCGTCGAGTCTGAGTAGAACACGTGACCTGACATACTCGGCCTGTTTCTGAAAGGTCAGCTTTTTATCAATGTAGATTCCCAAATACAGGTAAGAGCCTGTCCACTCAAGTTCTATATCCTGAATACGTAATCTATTCACAGGATCTGATCCCTTGAACATCATTGCAAGAGATTTCTCGGCCGAGATCTTGAGGCCTAGTTCCTTGCAAGACTGCGTAATTAGGTCCAAAGCTCTCTGAGCCTGTCGTTCTAAATTGCCTTTCCCATTCACTACGAGTGCAAGATCATCAGCTTAGCTGAGGAGCTGTGTACCACTATGAAAGGGAAGGCTCACAAGTTCCTGCATAAGGATGTTAAACAGGGTAGGACTGAGCACACCTCCTTGTGGCGTACCGTTTTCCAGGGTTTTAAAGGAAGAGTAGTGTCCCTGAAAGCTGACACAGGCCTGCCTGCCCCTAAGGTAGGACTCTATCCAGGCCAGGCGGCGTCCTTTGATTCCCTTCCGAGCTAGTATTGCCAGAATTGCTGTGGGACTGGCTAGCTCAAATGCCTTTTCAAGGTCGAGGTAGACGACGATACTAGGTTTTTTGTTACTATCAGCAATCTGGCTTAGTAGAGTGGTTATGCACTCTGCTGTACCCACTCCTTTGGTGAAGCCAAATATGTGATGATGAGAGGGTCCAAGTTTCCATAGGAGGCGGTTAAACACCATCCTCTCAGCAGTCTTGGCTAAGCAGCTGGTCAGCGATGTGGGTCTCATACTGCCTGGGTCCTTGGGCCTATATATACCAGGGGTATATATAGGCTCAGAGTGAGGTGCAGTACTAGTGGTAGTAGTAGTGATATAAGTAGTAGCAGTAGTAATAAAATATGTTAGAACAATTAACTACTACCACTAGCATTGCACCTCACTCTGAGCCTATATATACCCTCTGTGTCCATGTACTGTTTGTAACGGCTTGACAAAGCTCCTGGAGAGCGAAACGTTGCCACAATAAAATGTCACATTAGTTGCACTTGTGTCCTTTTACTTTACGTATTGTCGGTAATTCTATCAACTTTATTACAAGTCACAAACAGATCTACCTGGGTGAAAGGTACGTGAGTGTTTATAGGATGGAGTCAGGTGCAGAATGCTCACCCAGCATTCTCCACCTGACGCCATCCTATAAATACTTGCGTACCTGTTACCCAGGTAGATATGTTTGAGACCTGATAAAGCCCACTGTGTGAGCGAAACGTTGCCAATGAAGGATCACATTATACTGGAAGACATGAGCAGGGTTTTCCAGTGGTCATTGGAGAGCAACATGACATTCAGTGGTGATAAGTTCCAGCTGCTTAGGTATGAAAAGAATGAACTCAAAAGGAACACTATATACAAAACTCAAGAGGGTAACCAAATAAAACGTAAGGAACACGTAAAAGACCTAGGAATAATTACGTCAGTTGACCTTTCTTTTAAAGACCATAACAAGACAAAGATCACGACAGCCAGGAAGATGACTGGGTGGGTACTGAGAACTTTCAAAACAAGGGAAATAATGCTGGTGGTGACACTTCAAATCGCTAGTGCTCCCTCACTTAGAATATTGCTCAGTGCTGACGGCCTCGTTCAGGGCAGGAGAAATATCAGAGCCGGAACAAATACAGAGAACATTTACAGCTCACATTGAGCCTGTAAAGCACCTGAACTACTGGGAACGCCTTCAAGGCTTGAACATGTATTCACTGGAGCGGAGGAGAGAGATATACATGATAATATATACCTGGAAGGTACTCGAGGGCCTGGTCCCAAATCTGCACACTGCCATAACAACATACTGGAATGAGAGATATGGGAGGAAGTGTAAAATAATCTCAGTGAGGAGCAGGGGAGCGGTGGGGACAATAAGGGAACACTGTATCAACATCCGGAGTGCCAAACTATTCAACATCTTACCAGAAGATATCAGAAACACGCCTGAGATGAGTGTAGAAACTTTCAAGAGGAAACTGGACAAGTATCTTCACCAGGTGCCAGATCAACCAGGCTGTGATGGATATGTGGGGCAGTGGGCCTCCAGCAGCAACAGCCTGGTTGACCATGCAAACACCAGATGAGCCTGGCCTATGGCCGGGCTCTCTGAGCCCGGCCATAGGCCAGGTATTCAAGTCAGGATGTACAGTGTGTAGCTGGGAGTGTTGTTGGGAGAGACATGTTCTAAAGGTCTTTGTAGTGTTTTATTGTTATCTTTAGTCATACCACTTAAAAAAAACTCATAAATTTAAGTAAATATGCCACATATAATTCAATTTGTTCCCTTGTCTGTAATAATGTCCAATATTCCTGTTATTCTTACCAATACAATACAAAAGTAATGTGTGTGTCTGAGGTATTGATTTTAAAAATATTTCCAGTGTTGAATATCTGATTATAATAAAAATAAAACGTTCCAATTGTAAATTTGAGAGTGCGAGTTATGAGGGGAGGGGTTAGGGGGGGTGGGGGGGGGTGGGGTGAGGAGGGGGGTGGGGTGAGGGAGGGGAGGGGTGAGGAAGGGAGGGGAGGGAGGGGTGGTGAGAGGGAGGGGAGGTGGGTGAGGGGGGGGGGTGGGGAGGGGTGGGGTGAGGAAGGGGGGGATGAGGGTGGGGGAGGGGAGGGGAGGGGAGGGGTGGGGTGAGGGAGGGAGGGGAGGGTGGGGTGAGGGAGGGGAGGGGTGGGGTGGGGAGGGTGGGGTGAGGAGGGTGAGGGAGGGGTGGGGTGAGGGAGGGGAGGGGTGGGGTTGGGGGGGGTGGGGTGAGGGAGGGGTGAGGGAGGGGTGGGGTGAGGGAGGGGAGGGGAGGGGTGGAGTGGGTTAAGGGGTAAACGTACCTATCATATGTTAAAATAAATTCGACGGGGAGGCATTATCTTGTAAGTAGACACTAGGGAGTGTTAATGTGGGGCTGTAAGTCTTCACCAGCATCATTTGCATAAGTGGTCTTTCCGTTCGTGCTGATAAATGTGAAATATTGGTTAAATGATGAACATAATTTTCAAGTCAAGTCAGTTTTACAATAAGACAACACATGTTATGTCACAGATGTGGTTAAGCTGTCATGTCCAGTGTAAACGGCAGTATTTAGTTATTTATTAGGCAAGTATTTATATAGTATTATTAGTATAAATTACAACATCCAGTATGAGCATGTATTACACACTTCCTTCTCCCTGTTCCTGGCATACATCTCCAGAGTACAAGAAGGCGCGGGCGGAGATCAAGAAAAGAACTGAAAATGCTGCCCGTCTCCAAAAGAAGGCCAGGAAGGCAGGTAGAAACTCAGAACTCAATAAGGTTAGTAGCTTGTTAACCACCTCGCATTACCAGTTTATACGTACAGGAGCAGTTATGGTCATGATGTTCCATCTTTAATATTTATTTTGTATTGTAATTGTTGAGCTTACAGTGGTTGTTGTACATACATTCATGAAAAATTTTTATGGCTTATCACTTAAGGCCTAAAACGAATTTTGTATATGACTTAGACTTTGGTATGTGGACTTGTCTTAGCTTGTGTTGTTCCTACTGCCTCTATCATCTCTCACTGAAGATGCTACTGCTGCTGACACTGCTCTTACTGACAGTGTCGCTGCAGATGACTATCTTGTAGCTTATAACCTCTGACTTCAACTGAATTCTGGATAAGGGTTGGACTTCAAATCACGTTTTTATACGGCTCTGGTAGCTATATAAAAATATGATTAATGTAGTTTAAAGAAACCCACTAATTATGCATTGCATTTTGGGCAACTAATTAGGCTTACATGTTACTTAAGATATCGTTCCAGTCACGGTATTGTGCTTTTTTGTTATTTATACTTACTTAAGATCTAAACATAAAGCATTAAGTAAGGTTTCTTATGCAGTTAATTAGTTATAAGTACAATAAAAAAGGTAGCTAATAACAAATGGTCAATTATAAAAGAATTACATACTATTTAAACTGGTTCAGCGATCTTCAGTCTTATGGGGTGATTGAATAGAGATGGTGAAGATACAGAAAGTTACTTAGTTACAATGAAAGTAAAATGGGACAAGATATTTTTTTTTGTTACCAATTATGCGTGGAAGCTGAAGGAAAACTGGAAGAAGAACAGGAACAGAATTGGATGAAAACTGGTTTTGTTTACCACAGCGTATTGCTGTCTCATTTATGTTAAGGAGTTGAGATGCTTTTTAATAATAGCTCTGAATCAACTGGCACATAGTGGGACCTTGCAGTGCTTCAGGTAGACACGGATGCCATGCTGGACTGCATTTTCAGAGATGAGCCACAAACGTTGCGTATGGAATCCTAAAGAGCTCTGTTGACATTTCTGAGGGCTATTTCAGAGATGCTAGCCCTATATAGGCTGCCAGTCATATACTTAACATACTCCTCTGATATATTTGTGGTTTGATGTTCACTGCTAGAACCTTTTCTTTTGCTAATGTTTGTAGTTTGCTTCTTCATAGTTTCTACTGTATCTTTGCTCTCCCCTCCTGTTCTCTAAATCCTGTGTCCTTTGCATATATTCAGGTTAACTTCTTGCAGTCACCTGTTAGACCATCCCTGCAACCTGTCTTCCTGAGGCTTTTTCTGTTCTCTTATGTCAGTACTCTTCTCAATAATTATAATAATAATAGTTTATTTCTTTGAGTCATACAAATAGTGTATATAAATGTATTAGTTCTCTGTGGGAAAGTGGAGAACAATCCTTCCTCCGTTAGTCTTACATGTTGTAAGAGGCCACAAAAATGCTTGGAAGAAGAGGCTAGTTACCCCCTTCTCCTGTATATGTGTACTCGCCTAGTTGTGGTTTCAGGGGTCGATTCACAGCTCCTGGCCCCGCCTCTTCACTGGCCGCGACTAGGTCACACTTCCCGCTCCATGAGCTTTATCATACCTCTTCTTAAAGCTACGTATGGATCCTGCCTCCACTACCTCACTTCCCAGACTATTCCACTTCCTGACAACTCTGTGACTGAAGAAATACTTCTTAACATCCCTGTGATTCATCTGAGTCTTCAACTTCCAACTGTGACCCCTTGCTGCTGTGTCCCATCTCTGGAACATCCTGTCTCTGTCCACCTTGTCAATTCCTCTCAGTATTTTGTATGTCGTTATCATGTCCCCCCTATCTCTCCTGTCCTCCAGTGTCGTCAGGTTGATTTCCCTTAACCTCTCCTCGTAGAACATTTCTCTTAGCTCTGGGACTAGTCTTGTTGCAAACCTTTGCACTTTCTCTAGTTTCTTTACGTGCTTGGATAGGTCGTGTGTGTGTGTGTTAGTTACCATTTTGTCCTAGGCACATGTCGATTAGACACTAGGCCTGTAGTATGTGTGTGTGTGTGTGTGTGTGTGTGTGTGTGTGTGTGTGTGTGTGTGTGTGTGTGTGTGTGTGTGTGTGTGTGCGTGTGTGTGCGTGTGTGCGCGTGGTGTGTGCGCGTGTGCGTGTGTGTGTGTGTGTGTGTGTGTGTGTGCGCGTGTGTGTGTGTGTGTGGCGTGTGTGTGCGCGTGTGGCGTGTGCGTGTGTGTGTGTGTGTGTGTGTGTGTGTGTGTGTGTGTGTGTGTGTGTGCGCGCGCCATGTGCTATATGCCATATTACCTTCAGCCCGGGCTTGCCACACAGAGGTATGACAGATGATGCAACTAGACAACCACAAAACCAAGGAAACAGTGCACCCAACAATGAAAGTAAAGGCACATGTCAGGTGTGTGGAGGGTATCGGGCACTCAACAGCAACGGCCTTAATCGTGTACTCAAAGGGTGTGTGGATCACATATGGCCGCAGTAGAGAGCAGCCTCCAGCCTCCAGAGGCAGAGAATAATTCGAATGGCAACCTCTCACTTGCAAAGACATGATGACATTCTAATCCAGTGTTAGCAGTACCCTATCTCACATTCCTAAAGATGCTCGTCCATATGCTCCAGGGAAATTCACAGACCTTAAGCAGGTGAATGGAGGTTCCACCAACTTAGAAGCCAAGGCACCATTAAAGCATGGTGCAACCTACTCTTGTTCAGCAATATCTGTCTTGCAGTTCCTGAAAGACAAGACAAACTGCTAACCACATCTGTCAACAAGGCAGTGTGCAACTACCCAAGAACAGATAATTGTGTCCCTCAGCCCATCATCGCAGGAATCACAGAAGAAGACCCAAGAAAAATTCCACTGAAAACGAGAAGAAATTTGCTCACAGGTGAGCAAAAAGTCGAAGGTAACACAGAGGGAGCAATCAGAATAATTACAAGTGATGACACTGTTGCTATCAAAGATGAGGCCACAGCCCAAGCACAAAGAGACAGCGCACCCAACAAGGGACACTATAGTCGTCAACAACAACCCTGAGGAAGACCTCATCACTAGACAACTAATTTTTGCCAGAATCAGAAGTCTACAAGGCATTAGTGTCATTTCTAGCAGGATCTGCATAAGATTACACTGGAATTCAACCATAACACCTCAAAGAGATTGTAAATCCAGTAATTGGCACATCTGGCATCAATTCTTCTTTCTGAGTTAACAACCTTCGTCAACAACTGCTGGCTGGGCGGAATCAGACTCATTGCTGTTGGTAACACTCTTTGCCATCTCGTTGCCAAAGCAGCAGTAAGAAACATTTGCCTAGAAGCTGCCAGTTTACCCCAGCCACACCAACTGTGTTTAGGGTTTCTCGAGGCAGTGATGACACAGCCCATGTGGGAAGGGACTGACCAGAAGACAAGGCCTTAGTCAAAGTAGCCTTTAGATATGAGTTTAATATGGTAAAAAGACATGTGGTCTTGCCAGCCGTTAGGGATCGGTTCCCCAGTCTTTTTCCCTTCATTTCAGCTGGTGACAGCAAACCTGAAGAGTCCCTGCCACCTTTGATATGAAGAGCTTCAAAAGTATATCAAAGTTTTGAAGGCACAGGCAGAAGCTTTGGGTTCATCCTCAATCCCTCCAAGTGTGAAATCATCAATCCCTCCAAGTGTGAAATCATCAAAACAAACCAGGAAGTAATCATTACTATGCGAACAATCTTCCCTGTAGTCATTGCTACCACTCCATCCAAGAGCACTCTCTTGGGAGCACCACTGGGTAACTAGGCCATCAACACAGTTCTCAAGGACAAAGTGAATGACCTGAAGAGAATGGAGGAAAGAATACGAGATCTCGATGCCCTTGATGCCCCGTATCTCCTCATAAGGTGTCTTACTCTGCCAAGACTCACTTCCTGAGGTGCACACCCACTTTTGACAACCCAACACTCAACAAATATGACTCACTCCTGAAATCAGTCTTTAAGAAGGCACTGAATCTGTCACTGGAAGATCAGTAATGGGATCAGGTAACCCTCCTAGTGCCACTGGGAGGTGTAGGGGTGCGCAAAGCAATGCAGGCAGCTCTACCTGCATTTTTGCCTTCATGTTTGACTTCCAGTGGATTAGTCAAGGATACTGTCCCCGAATGATTGAGAGATGAGGTAGGAGTTCAAGATCCCAGGTGTGTGTGTGTGTGTGTGTGTGTGTGCTCACCTAGTTGTACTCGCCTAGTTGAAGTTGCAGGGGTCGAGTCCTAGCTCCTGGCCCTTCATCTTCACTGGTCGCTACTACTAGGTCACTCATCCTGAACCGTGAGCTTTATCATACCTCTGCTTAAAGCTATGTATGGATCCTGCCTCCACTACATCGCTTCCCAAACTATTCCACTTCCTGACTGCTCTGTGGCTCAAGAAATACTTCCTAACATCCCCGTGTGTGTGTGTGTGTGTGTACTCACTCGCCTAGTTGTGGTTGCAAGGGTCGAGTCACAGCTCCTGGCCCTGCCTCTTTATTGACCGTGACTAGGTCACTCTTCCCGCTCCATGAGCTTTATCATACCTATTCTTAAAGCTATGTATGGATCCTGCCTCCACTACATCACTACCCAGACTATTCCACTTCCTGACAATTCTGTGACTGAAGAAATACTTACTAACATCCCTGTGGTTCATCTGAGTCTTCAACTTCCAACTGCGACCCCTTGTTGCTATGTCCCATCTCTGGAACATCCTGTCTCTGTCCACCTTGTCGATTCCTCTCAGTATTTTATGTCGTTATCATATCCCCCCCTATCTCTCCTGTCTTCCAGTGTTAAGTCGATTTCCCGTAACCTCTCCTTGTAGGACATACCCCTTAGCTCCGGGACTAACCCTGTTGCAAACCTTTGCACTTTCTCTAGTTTCCTTACATGCTTGACTAGGTGAGGGTTCCAAACTGGTGTTGCATACTCCAATATGGGCCTAACGTACACGGTGTACAGGGTCCTGAATGACTCCTTATTTAGAT